ATATATATATATATAATAAAAACCGTTTTCACTGAGGCGTTGCCTCTCTTCTCCCTGCAACGTCGAGGGTTCTTCTCCCTGCGTAGATGAGAAGTCGCCGACAGACGAGGAGAGAGAGCGGCGCTGATCTGAAGGTTCTCCCCTTCTTCTCCCTTTTCTTTCTTCCCCTTCTCCCTCTTCTTTCTTCTCCCTCGTCGCCTGATTTAGGACGATAACAACCCCAAATCGACGGTACCACTCGATAGCGGGCGGTCCATGTACCTATTTGCTGGCGGACCGAGCGGTATCATTCGAAATTAAAAATCTTGACAGATAAACTTTTCTTGGGAAAGATATGCATGTATTTAGATTGATAGATCATCTAGATGATTTCTCTTTGCTCCTAGTAGCTCATATATTAGTTGTTCAATATTCAAATTCTTTTGTAAAAACCAAGGTTTGCCTTACTGGTCTATACCGGTGTATCGACTGACGTATCGTATATTGGTATAGCGGGGCACACTGACAATATAGTATAATTATCGAAAATAGCTCCAAAATTGTCTAAAAATAGAAAGAATAGATTAAGGTTTTTTAGTTGGAAATAAATATAAATTTAGTATAATTTTAGCAAAAATAATTTAAATTTTGAACCTTGAGGAGTAGCTTTGCGATATGTTCTTGATCGTCCTTCCGTTAATATTGAATTATATACAAAAAAATAATTTAAATTGTTAGATTATTTTTTAAATAACTTAAACTTTAAGATTCAAATGAACCAAGTAATCAATCAATGGATATACCTGGTGCTGCCATAAAAAAGAACGACGGAACTCTACGGGCGATGGATCGGGGTCATTGATCCTTTGTATCTGTATATCAATTTGATATATTTATCGGACCCAATTCTGAAATTGATTCCACGACATAGTATATTGATATATCGTATGCCATGGTGCATCAATGTAATGATGGTTATAGTCTAATTGTTGTGAACCACATTTGTCCAAGGTAACTGTTGAGGTAAGGATGATTATAACATATATTGGTGCGGATCATGGAGAATGTCAGAACTTTTACTTTTGCCATGGATATGTTGCTTTGTATCATAAGATCGATCATCATATTATTGCTTGAAGAAGAATGACTAGTTATCACCGTACTTCTGTTGGCCATAAGATTCTCTATAATACGATAGCTGTGAATATGATAAGTTTTGCTAAGTGTCTATGTCCTGTAAGCTTTGTCACATCTGCTTAAAATCATCTATTTTTTTCCTTTTCTCCTTCCATGCATCGTCAATTCATGTTTGCTTCGCTGTTTGTGGAGGATACACTTGTGGATCAATATCAATAATATCTAATGCTGACCTCCTACGAAGTCCTCTCATAAAACCACGTATTCCACCTTGTATCATGCTACCGAACTGGCTTAACTAGGGAGGGGCAATTAGCTGCCTCATGCTAGTCGACCTTTGGATTCCTTATGACACAGACCCACTACCACCACCATACTCCTATTGTGAGTCAGGTCATGGATGCCTCATTGCTTTCTCGTACGTGTACTAATGCTCTAGTGATGCACAAATACCAGGTCTGAGATCTGGGTTAATATCATTACCATGACTCTCATATTCGTCATAAATCGGTTCCTACGTAACCCTGTAGCATTCTTCTTTAGTTCTTGCCTTTTTTTTTCATTGTATCTTCTCGTACTTGTTGTAACTTGTCTTGAAATGATTTATGGACCTTCGTCGATACCTTCTTGCATTTTTCAACATCGAGATACCCATTGGCCAAATGCATCTTCATTCGGGTGTTTCTTTCACTCTTGTTAATGTAGCCACAATAAATGCATTGCTAATGATGAAGGTTCTCGTCTATCTTTTGAGCATGATCCAAAGTGTAATTATGTACCTATTCCTTTTGTGCCATGTCTCTTTCAAGATTGAATCAAGTAAGCAAGCTGCAATTAACCCCAAATTAAAATAACAAGGTACAATTATATATAATGAACACCACTTCGTCACTATAAACATGTTAATCAACCTATTCAACATTAAATACGTAGAATTGACTCAATATCATTAAGTTTATCATTAAATACACTAATTATAGCAATAAAAAACTTAATTAAACCCTAATTAGCTGTATATTACCACTATAAATATGTCAAACATCCTAAGAAGCATTAAATATGTAAATTTGATCTAATATAGTTCAAATTACGATGAAATCGTCATTAATTATATTAATCACACCATTAACATAATTAATTATTTTCTAATTATTCCTCTTTCACCACTATAACATGCCAAACACTCTAATAGGCATTAAAGACATTTAATTGATCCAATACTGGTCAAATTTCAATATCATTGTAACTAAATAGACTAATCAAATCATTAACATAGTTAATTAATCCCTAACTAGTCCTCTTTCACTGTAATAAACATGTCAAATATCCTAATAGGTATTAAAGACATTGAATTGATCTAGTATAGATCAAGTTTTGATTAGGTCATCATTAAAATTACTAATTACAGCATTAAAAAAACTTAATTAAAATCTAATTAAACCTATTATACCATCACAAACAATTAAATCACCTTAATATGCATGAAATACAAAGATTTGACCATTAAGTGTCTAATTTTGAAAAAAAAATTACCATTATACATACTAATCATAATATTAAAGATCTTAATTACTTCTTAATTATACTATTTTATCATTAAAAACATGTCAAACAACATGTTAGACATTATGTCATTAACCATATAGAATAGACTTAGTCATTTCATAAAACAATAAAAATATAGAAAGAGAATACATATCTTTTGATCATGGTGTTCTTCCTCTTAATCCTCTCAAATTAGCCTCTTAAATTTGATCCAATTCACAAATCGCAGCTTTGTTGGGTTTGAGTAAAATTGTGAGAATGAGAGAGAGATGCAATTAAGAAAGAGTTTGAGAGAGTTGAAGAGATTGAGAGAGTGAAATTAGTTGAAAGAGGGGGGAGGAAAGAATTTAAAAACCCGTTCCTATGGTTCAAATAATCAAATTAATCGTTTGAAAGAGAGCAATCTCAACCCACCCCGTATCGCTCGATACGGGGTCATGTAACGTGTATTGTTCAGTATAGGGTGGTCCACGCACTAGTCCCCTATCATACCGGTACATACTATCCATATCGGGTGATACATTACGGTATGCCAAACCTCGGTAAAAACAATGATATCATGCTCTTGAGTTATTTTCTTCTTGGCAAATAATACTGTAGACTGTAAGCATGCCCATAAGTATTTCATTCCATATGTTTTTGACTAATATCTCAGTTGTTGAACAGGATTGTCTTGAATTGCTGAATAATCTTATTCGTAATAATACATCCAATCAGGTACTGTACTTTTAGTTGCTAATTTCAAATTCTGAACTGCCTTTCTACCTTTTAACTGTCAAAAACTTGGTTTAGATGTTGCTGAAAGAGACCATTGGATTTGATCCTTTAGTATCTATACTAAAGCTTCGTAGAGGTAGTGCTTACAATTTTACTCAACAGAAGGTATGAGTCTTTATTTTCCCAAAATGTAATTTTTTGTGCTATTTTGGATAGTGATTATAAAATAGAATATGGGTTTTTTAAATCTATAAGACATTATATTATATGTACTTTGTTATTTTCTGAAACAACTGCCTTGCTGTTAGACAATAAATCTACTCAGTGCACTGGAAACAGTTCGATTGCTTTTGATGGGAGGCTCAGCAAGTGAGCCAGGTAAAGATGCTAATAAACTATCAAATCAAACCGCATTAGCTCAGGTATAAATTTTTCGCTATTCGTTTAAGCTGTATTTGATCTCCATTCTCAGCTTGATTGTGAAATTTGTTTTTCGATCAATTGAAAACAACTTCAGAAGAAAATCTTGGACCATCTCTTACTGCTGGGGGTTGAAAGTCAATGGGCTCCGGTCGCATTGCGCTGTTTGGTAAGATACTAAATTACAAGGAGAAACTTTTTGTCTTTGCTCTTTCACTTGAAGATGGACCATCACGATAAACTTGTCTGCTTCATACTAAATTGAATCGAATAGTCTTTTAAAGACCATCTTTAGCTATATGGTGATTGAAGTATTAGTTCATACCAAGGAATGCAATTTCACGTAGAACACCTCATACTGGATTGTATTGGCTGATATTTAACGGACCACACATGAATCGGTATGTGTTAGCATCCCTTTCTGGATGGTTTGATCTGGTCTATAGTTTTGTTCTTAAATTCTGCTTTCAGGATTTCTCATGCATCACAGATGCACAACTTGGCAAGGCAAAAGGTGGTGGAGACTTTTTCATTGAATATGAATATAAATTATTTGGATTATTAGAAAGGAATTGGATGCTGGTTTATTTAGTATTTCTTGTGCTAAAACTCAGGAAAGATTAGAACTTGTAATTTTTGAACAGGTATGTTAAAAAGTTAGGATACGGGATATGGAGAAATTTACTTTTTGAAAAGATGTGTTAAAAAGTTTTAGGGAAGAGGTTAAGGAATTTTTTTTATCATTTTATGCCTTAAAATTTTAATGGGACCATAGTTAATTTTCCTCTTAGATTATCAAGAAATCTTTTTGACAAGAGTCACAAGACTGACATCCATAACTATAGTTTGCTTCCTTTCGGAGGCTCTTTTTGGTCGCTGAAAAATAAATGGAGAAAAAAGAAGGTAGGAAAATGAAGCCAGTTATCTTCTTGTTAGTTTGGTAATCTTTGGTCATCTTGTTTTGGTGTGTAGCACACTGAGTGAATCCTGGTATAAAAATAGAGTCAATTAATTTTTAAATTTGCATTACCTTTTTACCAAAGTTGAGGTTCTGCATATCTTACATTCTTAGGTGTGTACAATCAATTACTGTTAGTGCTTTAGCTTTGTCAGCATTTTTTTTTTATGAACCTCTGATTGTTTTTTCGTTTTCTTTGTTTCTTTTTTGCTTTTGCCTTCTAATCTTATACAAACTTCACTTTCAGGCTTTGCGTTGTATAGGGGACTTGGTTATGAAACATTCTCACAATCTTGACATTCTTGGAAGTAAATTAGTTGGAGAAGAGCCTCATCTTGAACCTGCCTTAAATGCCATTTTTCGTATCATTTTGCGCACCTCTACCTTGCAGGAATTCATAGCAGCTGATTATGTTTTCAAATGCTTCTGTGAGGTTGTTTCTTGACTTCTGAACTTCAACAAATTTTATCATAATTAATAAGTATCCTGTATTTTCAAGCTAGATAATGTCTGTCTAGTTATCTAATATGATTATTATTTTTAGATGAACAATGGCAAGACTTGTTAGCCATGCATTTATCATAATTTACTTTGCATGTGCAAGATCATGCATCTTCCATTGATGTAGCATGTTAGATAACTAACCATGTTATAATTGTAACAAGTTGATATTTGTGCTTGTCTATCTTTATTATTATATTAGACAAACAATGTTAAGACTTGTGATTTGTGCTTTTCATGAATTCATGTTACAAGAACATAGAATCATGCAGCTTTGTTTTTGGCATTTCATTAGTTATGCTATGGCTTCACTAATGTGAAATTTATTAGTGTTTTAGACATTTCAATAGTTATGCTATGACTTCAGAAATGTAAAATTTGTGATTGTCTGATATGATATTATTTTTAATGGACAATATAACAACAAAGCTACAAGTCCCAATTATCATTTTTAATGAAAAATGTCGTACATTTTGTACATGGAAAACATTTCTGTCATGTCTTCCCTTGGAGGGTTGTATGAGATTTGTCAAAGAAAAACAATTTCTACCATGCCCACTCTTGGAGAATTGTATTCATAATAGAAAGTACACCATAGCTTATACCATTTTAGACTAGATATGTTTCTTCTATCAGGAACCAAGAACACAGAAGTCCTTATAAATTTTTTGTGTAAACTAGTTAGTTATAATTAGTCACATTCTAGTTATAACAAATTGACAAGATTGCCTTTGGGCCTTAAGCTCCATGATACTTGATTATTTGAAACCGTATAATAAATGGCATGGTGTCTTTCAGTGTTATTTCTTGACCTAATAAATCATTTCATATAAGTTTAAAAGAGGGTGATTGAGTGAAGATTAAGACACACGACAAGTAAATCTGAACATATTTTGGCTTTATATCTGGAAGATTAATTATAAGGCTATGTATTTATATAATTAACGAAAAATATAGTGAAGAAAAAATCCCACATGATTTTAATGATCTAGAAAAAAATCTATCGACTTTCAAAATATTTATTACAATGAGTTTAGTATTAGAAGGGGATATCTAATACTTACATTGTGTGATAATGTGTATGATTGAGTTTATCATCAATGTTTGGAATATACAAAGAGCATTTATCAAGTTCCCTATAGTTAAAGGTATATATTAGATCTATTCTGATTTCCTCATTTTCTTAAAAAAACACTATGGATAAACTTACTAATGATATTGAAGATAAACTATATTAGGGTGTAAATTTGATTGATGACAGTTCAGATGAGATTAAATCTAAACCTAAGCGGTTGAGACACACTAGACACTAAGAATTTGATTTTTACTAGGACTAAAGCCGAATATATGATGCATAACTCTAATGATGGATGAAAAATTTGCAAAAAATCGAGAGTATACTTAACATAGATGGATGAAAATTTTGTGGAAAAAAATTAATATCTTGGACATATTATTCAGCAGGAAGGGTGATTAATGAAAACATTACTCAAAAAGTTAAAGGAGGCCACATTCTCCTTACATTGAAGGAGCAATTGGATGATTAGGAACAACACCTACGAGAAAGATTGTCAAGTTCCTCTTAGATTCAAAGAAAATTTGGACGGTTAGGAAGGTGTTACCATTGTTTAAGATAGAGATGTTGAGTTGAATGTGTTGGGTTGGTATAAAAGATAGAATTAGAGATGGTTTCATTTGTGAACAATTTTTTGTAGCCCCCAAAGGCAAAACAAGAGAAAAGGCCTATAGATATCTTAATTAGATGAGGTGAATTTATTAAAGATTAGTAGAGTGAGGATAGGTAGAGGGAGCTCCAAGAAATCTTTGTTAAAAACAATAAAAAAAAACTTGGTTGCTTTTAAGTTTGACTAGTGAACATTCTTAAGCAGAGATCACTTGCAAATCCACATAAGACTTCAAATAGTTGGGACATTCAGCTGGTTGTTGGGGAGGCTGGTTTGAGTAAAAAAGCTAGCTCGAATTTGTTTTATGTATGCCAGAAAAAGAAAAAGAAAAAAAAAAAACAGACCTAAGCCCACTCAAAAGAAGCCAGCCCATAACCTCTGATTATGCACAATACTTCTATGCTTCAGTCTTATTGGCAAGGTATGCAATACCGTATCATACCGGTGTTTCGAGGTTAGCTCGGTACGGTACGGTATCATATATCGAGCGGTACGTCAGGGCGTACCGAGTAGTACACCTAATTTAGGTGTAAAACCCTCCGAAAATACCTGAAAATAAAAAAAAAGTTAGGATCGGGTTTTTAAGTTAGAAATAAATATAGTAATAGCATAAGTTTAGCAAAATAAATATAAATTAGGTAATAATAGTATCACATATTTTTTTCGGGCTTTAAAGATTATCTTGTGCAAGGTTCGTATTTTAGTCCATTACGAATTGTCCTTATGTAAACATACCTCTTGATTAGAAAATTCTTCCTCTTAATCTTCCTAAATTAGTCTTGATTCACTTTACAAATCGTTGTTTTGTAGAGTTTAGGAGAGCACAAATGTAAGAAAAAAAGAGTTTGAGATAGTTTAAGAGAGTGAAAATGTAATGGAGTGAAATATGGGAGAAGAAGGGTTTTAAATACTATGAGAAAGGGCTCCAATGGTCAATTTGACCATTGGAGCATTGTATCACTGTTACCGAGCGATTTTAAATATTTCTTTCTCTTACTGTAGCACTGTAGTACTGCTACAGTGTAGCACTGTAGTACTGCTACAGTGTAGCACTGTAGCACGTTCCGACCAGTAGCGGACGGTCTACGTACCGGTATGCCGTCGGACCGGTAAGTACCACTTGTATCGGGTGGTACCAGTCGAAATTGCATACCATGCTTATTGGTACGCATAATTTCGTGAAGTCTGAGAAATAACACTCCAGACAAATACCATTGGCATGACACTGCCAATGTGCTATGTTTGTTCTAATGTACCTCTGTCCTGGTTTAAAGCCTGTATTAACTTGTGTTGCCACATAAGTGGCATGCTCTTGTGTTTCAACCCTGGGAATCTTGGTTTCATACACAAGTGCCTTCTGCATAGTTAAGAAATCTAATGTAAAAAAATTTAGTACAGTGTGTCATAGTGATGATTGATTTTCTTGCTGTATGAAAAAGTATCTTGAGTACGATCAAATAGAACAGAGTGTAGATTATCTTGCTGTGAGTTTCTTTTATAGATTGATGGCATAAAGTTCTGAGAGAAAATATTGGAGTCTCACAATCTATAAAATAAGACAAACCATTTAATAAATCAGTGCTAATAACTTCTTGTTCAATTCTTGTTTTCAAGTCTTACAGACTCTGTCTTGCAATATGCATGCAAAATACTAAAATTTATTGTGCTTGACCATTTGTTTGCCCCTCCATATTTGTCACTTGATCTTTCTGATGAACCACAGCACCAAGGGGGTGGACAGGAAGGTAACCTTAGGTTGGTGCACCCTTATTTACTATTTGCTGTAGGATAGTCTTGCTTATGTGTGACATCCCACTGCTCTGGCAAATTAGCACCACCTAACAGTATTTGTGATACATCATTTTATTATTTCAGGAGATGATGTGTTAATTTATATTTAATTATGTGCTGTTATGGAGTTTACTACTATAAATTGGACACACATGACACAATAAAAAATCAGAATGTGATCTTGCATGCAATCATCTGCATTGCCTGTGCTCTTGGCAGGGCTGATAGATTGAATCATGATGGTCCTAGTAATTTTCATCTCTGCTGTGTCAGACACATACACTCTCTCTATTCTCCCTTTCTAGACTATGAAGACCAGACCCACCAATAATATGGCACAATTGATGTATATTGGGTTATATCTTTTATCTTGATAGTTCTTTACATCAAAATTTTTGTAAATGTGAAACAGGAAAATTCTGATGGTCAAGCAATGTTGACATCCACAATGACTCCTCAGCCAGGCTCAAATCATGCTACTGCAGAAGTTGGTGGTAGCATGCCTTTTGGCAGGTCTGTTGAAGAGAACCTCTCTTGTCTTTGTGTTAATATGGTTCTGATGTATTTCCAGTTTTGGCTTTTTAAGGTTGTTATTTGCATTCACCATGAAGATTTTAATGATCTTTTACTACTAATTGCTAATCACTCCATTTTTCATAGTCAATTTTCTTTTAACATGCTCTTTTGGCAGTATGCTTTTACAAGCTCTACTATCAGATGGAGCTAGTGGAGATCTTGAGGTTAGTTCCGTTACTCATGGAACTTAAGAACAATCGCATCTTATTGACATTTCCTTTCATTTTGACATGAATGTTACCTTGTTAAAACAATTGCCATTGTTGAAGCCTCTCTGTGTTGTTTCACCAGCTGTTAGTGCATTTTCAATTATTACCGTCATATGCTTCTAGCATATTTTTTAGATAGAAACATGGCCAACCAGATTCTGTAAGTTTTAGTATAACTGCAGCACTGGTCATCCACCTTGGGCAATGATCAGTGTTAGGTGTAATATCGATTTTAGTCTGTCATAGCTGTCGTGGATACAGGTGTATGGTCTAAGAGAGTCCATGTTTAAAATGTGGGTACAGGACACACTCTAAAATGATCCAATATGATTGTATATATATCTCTGCTTCTAAGTTTTTAATAAAAAAAGAAAGTTTTTAATACTTTTTATATAAAATGAAATTTTAGATTCTTTTTCCTGCACACTTCTGTGTGTGTGTGTGTGTGTGTTTCTCTTGGAAGCAATTGAGTGGATGGTACAGATATCGTTCCTTAACGCCTCTTTCTTTTGTTATTCTCCATGTGCGAAGCCTGACGACAAGGGTAGTGGTTGCTTTATGCTTCAATTACTCATCTTCTTCCTTTTCTCTTTTTCACACTCTTTGCCACACCATTATAAATTTGCTTATAAATTTTTAATCTCTAAGTCTTTGAAGTTCTATTCTGTATTTGCCAGATATTCAATAGAACCAGGATCAATTTTTTCTTTTTACCAATTGCATCACAAGGTGACCACAATAAGATTTTTATACTAAAGGGTTGATTTCATGTTTTATCTTGAATCCTTGTTGGTTCTTTTTTGTAGTTTCCAATTTGATTTTAACTGCACTGTTTATCGATATCTATTTTCTTCAGTCATGGTTCTGGCAGTTAGCAACTTTAATTTTCAAGTCTTTTATAACTGCTAACTATTTGATTCTTATAATGTGGCGAAAAGGGGCATGCCCTGCGTGTTATTGTTTACTTGTTATGGTTCTTTATCAATTTTGTTTGTCACTCTTTCGCCATATGTATTTGATAAAACATAATTGATTTTTTTTTGTTAATCTGAAGTTCTAGGTTTTTGATGGTTGTGATCTTTAACTTTCAAAAGTTTAGTTAGTTGATAACTTACTGTTCTAGCCTTCAAAAGAAAATTGTTGTGGCAACTTTATTGCATGATATGTAGTAACCTTTGAAGCAGTACTCTAGTGATCTAATATTAATGTGATATTTGTATACACTAACTTGAGATTCGTAAAAATAGTGAATGTCTAACTAATCATTTTTAACTGCAGATGTGTTCCAAAGCTACTAGTGTTCTTTCTCATATACTAAAGGACAATGTTAAATGCAAGGAGCGGGTGCGTATGTTTGTTGACAATAATATGGCTGGTTGTTTTAATTCCTTCTCCATTTTTTACCCATTACCTTTGATTATATAATTGGCTGTTGTGATATTTTGGGACTCTTTGCTGCATAAGCATTCTCAGCTGAAAAATAAACTGGAACCTGAAGTACTTCTCAGAACTTTTCAGGTTTTAAGAGTTGAGCTCGAGGCACCAGTCCCATCATTAGGTTCACCAGAGCCTCTCCTGCATCGCATCATGAAGAATTTGGCTCTTGCAGCCTCAGGCAAAGATAACAATCAAACATATCAAGGAGATTCGTACATCCAACCCCTTATTCTCCGATTACTTGTCACATGGCTTGCTGAATGTCCAAATGCTGTGTACTGCCTTTTGCAAGCACCAGCACATCTTACCTATCTTTTAAATCTAGTCTCAAATCCACATGCAAGTGCATGCGTGCAGGGTTTGGCTGCTGTTGTCCTGGGAGAATGTGTTCTTTACAATAAAAGCAGTGAAAACAATAGAGATGCCTTTTCTGTGGCTGATTCTTTGAGTCAAAAGGTTGGGTTAACTTCATTCTTTTTGAAGTTTGATGAGTTGCGGAAAAGTCTTCTAGATCTGGCCACATTAGGCCAACATCGCAAGCCACTTTCAAGATCTAGCACCGCTAGTATGGCAGATGCCCAAGAGGTTGATAATGATGATGCAAATCAGAAGCATGAGCATCCTGTTATAGTGGAAAGTTTTGACCCCATGTTTATTAAATTTATTGAAAGGCTTGAAACAGATATCAGAGAAAGCATTTTGGGGATCTTCAGTAATACAAAAAACAAGGTCACAGTATTGCCAGCTGAGTTGGAGCAAAGGGATAAAGAGACTGATGGGGATTACATCAAGAGGTTGAAAGACTTTGTAGAAAAACAATGCAATGAGATGCAGGTCAGTGCATCCGAATGTGTTTTCTTATTTCTTCTCTTCCATATAGAGAAAAGTTATAAAAGCGGCCATAATCCTGTGCTAACCTTACAGTTTACTTGTTTCTGATTTTTTCGATACTTTGGTTTGATAGTTTAACTCTAACATTTAACTGGAAATGATTTCTGAAGGACCTCTTAGGTCGGAATGCCACCTTAGCTGAGGAACTGGTGAGGACTGGGAGTGGGACTCCATCAAATCCTTCCCAGAATGCAGGCAGCGGCAAAGAGAGGGTTTTGACTGAGACTCTTCGCCAAGATCTTCAAGAGGCAACACGACGCATAGAGATTCTCAAGTCAGAGAAGGCTAAGATTGAGGCTGAAGCCAACAACTACAGAACTTTGGCCACGAAGCTGGAGTCCGACCTGAAAAGCCTTTCAGACGCTTACAATAGCCTGGAGCAGTCCAACTTCCACCTCGAGGTGGAGGTGAAGGCATTAAGAAAAGGTGGGGATTCCCCATATCCTGATGTTGAAGCAATCAGAGCAGAGGCAAGAGAAGAAGCCGAGAAGGAGAGCGAAGCTGAACTGAATGATCTGCTCGTTTGCCTGGGCCAGGAGCAAAGCAAGGTGGAAAAGCTGACCTCCAGATTGATCGAGCTGGGTGAAGATGTGGACTCCCTCCTCGAAGGGATAGGGGACGACACCGCACTCGGAGAAGACGACGACGATGATATCGATGACAAATAAACCAAAAATTTCAACTCGCTTGTGTAACATGGGCACTGATTGAGGTCGCAGTTGATCGGTAAGGCCCCATGTCTGGGAAGATGTCTTGGGATACCTTGTACAGTGTAACATAAAAAAAATGCTCTGGTCTTGTTCTCTTTATTCCCCTAAATTATGTGGTCTTATTATAGGACATCTGATGAACTCTTTCTTTGTGCTGATTGCTACTAATTCCTTCCTCTGGATGGACTGAACGGTGTCGCCGCGGTTTGCCAAATCTTGAATACTAAGAGTTCTCCTCTAATGTTTAATCGTGATCTTGTTCTATGCTGTATGAGAAGCATTTGGATTTTGATTCTGATATCTAAGTCGATACATAATCTCGCTGTTCCTCTGAATTGTCACTAGCTTTGCTGGATATTCTGATGCTACCCATCACTGTTCACGGATGTGAAATTTCTTGCAAGTTTCAGTCTACCGCAAAAGTATTCTTGAAATGGTTATAATTACCAATAAATAAATTTCTTGAGCATTAGGACAATATTTCCAATATCACTACATATATGTTCCTTATATAAAATCAATAATGTTGGTATTTAATTTTTAGATTAAGGTTTAAGGTAACGAGGATTCAAATAATCAATGAAATTGGTGGCAACCATTTTATTCTTAAACCAACTGTTAGATGGAAACTACGATATGTAGTGAGAATGATATAAATATTTGGTAAGTATATAACGCGTATACCATAGTAAAATATAGAGTGGCAAATATGTTATTTTGGGCTTAAGGAGGGGCACATACGTAAAGCGCCCGTCGTTGTTGTCGCTATTGCCTTCCCGATCGAATCCCACCACCACGTCTTTTTATATTCCAATAAAACGCTCCACCGGCATTTAGGTTCCGACCTCCCCTGAATCATTACGTCTCTTCCTCTCTGCCTCTTCCACCGCGATCCCGTCTTCCGATCCCAGATCCTTGCCTTCGATCCGTTGCCTCCTCTCTCCTGGTTCGCCATGGAGTTCCCGATTATTAGGATTAGGGTTCCGCTTGGTCTCCGCAAACCCTAGTGGACCCCTTTCCGCTTCCCCCGCCATGGAGGGCTCAGCGGACGGCTCCGGAGCCCCGGACTCGTGGGAGATGGTGGATCTCGACGCCAGCATGAGCCGGCTGCTCCTCTCCTCCAAGAAGAGCCCGGCCTCCTCGCCGCCGCCGGACGCCCTGGAGGAAGAGGAGGAGGAGGAGGCGGTGGCGGCGTTGGGGCTGTCGCGGTCTTCATCTGATACCTCCGAGCGAGTTGCCGGCGTGCCGGTGGATGCCGTGAGCCAGGTGGATCAGTTCCTTCGCGAGGCTTTGGAGAAGCCCCGGGAGCGCTTAGCAAGTGAGCTTCTTGGTCTTCGTTACTAATTCGTTGCCCTTTTTCTTGAATTTGGTGTTGTTTCTAGCTATCTTACGTTTCTCCAGCTGGAATATATCCGATTGTGTCTAATGGAATATAAATTTGATGGAGCTATTTCCGCTGCTATGAGAAGTTTGTTAGATTAAATATGTGCGGGTAAAGAAGCAAAAGAAAAGTACTTCGAGTTACAAAAGTAGTTTTTCTCTTATTTTATGGATACAAATTCTTTAAGCAAGACCAGATACTCTAGTCTGCTATACAGAACGAGTGCCTTGGGTACAAATTCTTTAAGAATCATATTATTTGGCTTATTAAATCAATGACTACTATACAAAAGATCGGCTACTATACAAAAGATGGCTATTTTGAATTAATGTTTTGTTGTTGAAAATAGATTCTTGCATCAAAAAACTTAGAAAACAAATGTATACTGTGTGATTCTCCTTTCTATTATGGACACTATTCACCATCTTTAGATATTTTCTTCTTTTATCAACTTCTTGATCTGATTGTTTGTGGTTAAGAACGTTCAATAATTGGTTTATAGGTTTAACACGTCAAATACTTTGAGTTCTTTGGAAAGAAATGCAGATATTATGTTATGTAGGCTTACAAAAGGTTCTTTTTGTTGCTGATTTCTGGCCCGACTCCAGTAATGCACTGTATAACATCATAATCGGTTATACTACATATCGATTTATCACGTAATTTTCTTATGTTTTCATTTGAATTATCTTGTAAATTTCTCATGTTTTTCATGAAATGGAACATACTTTCATCAGATATCCTTTTTCCTTTGATGTCTTTGATATATTTCTTTTGTTTAATTGCCTGGGATTTTGGTTAAGAATGTATGTTTTGTTCAGTTTTGAGGATGGAGCAAGATATTGTGAAGTTCATCCATGATCCTACTCAACAGCAACTGGAATTTCAGACACTTCCAAATTCCTACCTACGACTTGCAGCACACCGTGTGGCACAACATTATTACCTCCAATCATTTGCCATACTAGACAATAGCCTGCCAGATGGATCTGGTTCTCGAATTTTGCTGCGTAAAACTTCTACTAATTGTCGGATGCCTCCAGTTCGTCTTGCAGATATTCCTGTCAATCTGCCACAAGAAGATGGCAGTGTTGTGCTTAAGGTTGCAATCAAGCAAAGGCCTCAGAAGCACTCACAAAATATGGGCAATGCAAATATTCACTCTTCGAAAACTAATTATCAAAAAAGTGTTGAAGAAAGAAAAGAAGAGTATAATCGAGCAAGAGCACGTATATTCAACAGTAAGGACAGTAGTAGTTCAATATCAGATCCAGAGGATGAAGTAAAATTACCTGACACACTCCAAGAATGTTCCTTTATATCTGAAAGGACCGATGAAAAATCTGTAATGAAAGCATCCGAAAATTATCTTGGGAGGAGTTTTAGTGATTCTTCTTCATGTAGCAGCAGATTCAATAAAAGTAAGATAGAGAAAGGGCCTGTTGTTGGCAGACACAAAGCAAACAGTAGAGTAGCCATTTTCCGGGACCGTGAGATTGATTGTAAGGATCCTGACTATGATAGGAGTTATGAGAGGTAAATCTCTTTTCTAATTTCTGGGTTATTTATTTGCCCAATGACAAAGAAAACAACCATCTTTTTTGCTGCAAGATTCCATCAAGAAAGAAACTTCTTTAGAAGAATTTTTTAACGTCTAAATGATAGCTTGCTGCTTAATCATTCTAAACAGTTATCCTGCTATGGCATTTCTTTTGGCATTGAACAACAGATTTTTGCATGTTTTTATAACGAGATTAGAGCTTTAAACCTGATCAGTATCTTTTTGTCTCGTGTAGTACTACGTGGCTGCACTTTTTAAAGCTGTATTTTTGTTATAAAATAATATGGCAATACTACCAATTGTGGTATTATAATAAAAGCTGATTTTTTTTTTTTTTGCAAAAGTAGTAAAAACTTGATTACCAGTAAGCTTTATTTTTTTTATTTTATGTTTTAATTCTAGCAGGTGCTTGCCAAGAAATGCATTTTGCTTGTTTATAGTCTTTTCTGCAACGGCAATGATTTGCCCTTTGTCTACTTCATGTTACATATGTTTGCATCTCCTAATTGCTGGGTTACTGTGTCTATTCTCAGGTACATGCAACGATTTGATCCTGGATTTGGATTCAATGGTGGACCTTACACTATGCCGCCACTATATTCTCCAGCTGTTAATTACAATACAGAATTCCCACAGCTTGGATCCGGTCATAGGGCTCAAGTTCCTGTGGACCATCAACCTCGGCCCATTCCTCCGCACCTACATGGACCTTGGTTACCACCTTCAGCACCCACAGCGATGAACTATGGTCCACCAGAAGGCATGATACCAGCATTTAGTTCCAATCATGTTCGTGGTCACTCCAACACACCAGTCTACGTGCATTCATCTCAGTTTTCTGTGCCTCCACGTCCTGGAATGTCTTTCCCTCCTCCTGATGGACACATTCAAAATTTTGCCCAGGTTTTCATCTTGCCATTTTTATCTTTCTTTTTTCCTTTTTTTTTAAATCTAGGGCATGATTTTGATGCTTGTGAAATATGTTCAGTCTTGTATCTCCCACTTTGGGAATTTGGTTATCGATGTTATATCAGGATTTAATTTTTCAAATTTTTTTTTAATTTGTCTCAGAAGAATTGACCCACCAAGAAAAATGATCATCTCGAATGAAGAGCTAGATCTTGTTACTGGTGGATGCTTTAAATTCGAAAAAAATGAAAAAGAAAAAACTCTATATATCTTGATCATAATATGGTTTTTCAATCTGTTATTTCCAAGTAGCATGGACATAAAGTTTAAAATTGATAGTGATGATTACAATTTTCTATGAATTTCTTTTTATAAAATTTGGTGATGGAGCTAATACAAGATGATAACTAAAACTCAACAGAGATGCTCATTGATAAAGTAAGGAGTGAGGATCCTGATTTCATTATAGTAAAAAATCAGGGAAATATTTCCTCCCACTATTGAACAGGCCTCTAGGACATTTGATTAAACATCGTAGATGTTGCATTATGTCATTTCATTTTGTGGCTTTTGGTCTTATTGAATTTAATTTGTTTCTAATTGATATTTCTCTTACCTGATGTTGGGTTTGCAGACTCACCAGCAGCAACGTGATGCATGTTTTGGATTAGCCCGGCCCCGTTAAGGGGCCTGGGCATCGCCTGCACCTGCCAGCAAGAGCTCTGAGCTCAATGATGTGATGCCATAATTCCTGTTCTATGATTGATTTGCTGGCAGGAGAATAGCAGGCAAGTGGGACCGAGACTGGCTGGGCAGTGCGCGTCATTGGTCGAACTTAGCAGCCCTGGACATTCTCGGATATTTTGATGCTTCGTGCACATCAGATGCTGGATGGCATCTAGTCACCAATGCTCGTGATCCTTGTGCAGGATACAAAATCCTATTTTGTGCATACAGAAGTGGAAGGAAAAGTTTACAGATGGGATGTAAGCACTTGGTAGAATGAAGGTTTGATTCAAACAGTTTGTGCTTCTGGCTTCTTGATGTTGTCTCTTAGGTCTCTAACATGGCTTCCATGTTTTGTCTCTGCAGAAGCGCCATGGTTTAGCACCTTCTCCTTTAGATGATAGTAATCCTTGGCTGAATAATGCTCTTTCTGTAGTGAATATGGTCAATGAAGTTTAGAAAACTTCATGTTGCTTTCTTCATCTATGTGTGTGTTCTATCGTTTAGCTTCTTTACCAGTTCCCCTCACTTGGTTTGTGATGTAACCGAGCAACCATTTTTGATATATTTATTGTTTTCCTGTAAGATGTAATACAACCAACCTGTCTGATGGATATATCATTATGATACTTTGGCTGTATAGCTTGTTGCCTAATTTTATGGTAATAAGTCTTTTCCTTTGTTTTACTGTTTTATATCAATAACACCTGGCGGAAGGTTATCTTTGAAAATATATTTATATTTTTAACATATGGTTGGAGAAAGAGATCTGAGTGGATGTGAAACTATGGAATGCTTTGAATATTTGATAAATAAAAAATATATATTAAATGTGTATTAAGATAAGTTTGTTTGTTTAAATTGTATTTCACCTTCTGATAGTATCCTTGGCTGAATAATGCTCTTTAAGATAGGTATTGTTTGGCAAAATTATATTTCACCTTCTTGATAGATAGTCTCCTTGGCTGAATAATGCTCTTTCTGCAGTGAAGAGTAGTGTTCATCTATGTGTGTGTTCTTTTGTTTAGCTTTACCAGTTCCCCAGAATTAGTCTGTGATGTTGCTGAGCAACCAGTTCTGATATATTTGTTGTTTTCCTGCATGCCTGTCTGATGGAGGTTATATTTGCAAACATATTTATTTATTTTAATGTATAATTGAAGAAAGAGATAGAAATATTTCAATTGTTTGGTTTTAAACAATGGATTAAAAATTATATTTTACAGATGTATCAAGGTAAGTGTGGTTCAGTAATTGAATGTTTTATAATAAATTTATTGTTTTTTTTATTTTATTTAAAGTGAATATATTATTAGTATGTAAGTATTTTCAATATAGTAATTAGAAAAAAAAAAAGAGTATCAAATATTACCATAATATATATTTCAAATATGTTTTCAACTGTACCTCTAATTTTTATAGATGTTATTCTGTCGTACATACTGTATGCATAAGATCAGAAACATGACATTAGTGCACATCTACGTTGGATAATCCTCACTGGGATGCACAGTAGATCCTAATATGTTTGCCCTAACCATGCAATTATTATTCTGATGTCATATCATAATCATCATCTTGGTTTTTGTTTGACGTGTGACAAACCAGATGGGGACATAAAGCCGGGAGCAGCAAATCAGATGGATAAATGGCCGCTGGAACCTTTGTGACCGACTCTTCCGTTAGCTCTCGAGTCGCTTCGTTTCCGGTTCGATCTATTCGCTTGTGCCAACAACATTTCCCAACTTGTGTTTTCTTTCCTATAACTCCGATCATCTTCTGTACGAGGTTCCAACCCGACCGATCCTTTGGTATCAGAGCAGCCACACACACACAGTGTTCTTCCTCCTATCTCGACGGTGGGAACAGGGAACAGAATTAGAGACCTCTCGTCGTGCAAAGAACAGGTAGAATATGATGGTCCTTCCGTGGCCGGTGAGAAAGGAACATTTCTTTGTTGACAATTTGCTCCCCGACAAAGCTTGGTGGTGGTGCGTTTCCTCATCATGTCCGTTCTTTTCTCCCCTACACAAACATGCCCTTCTCGTTCCACACAACCATTGTACGTTTACTCACAGTGCATTGATGATCTCCTGCTCCTTTTTCCACCTGCTCTGTGTGTGTTTTCGTGTACAACAATGGCTGGCTGGTGGTGGGTTTGTTAGGGAACTTTTCTTTGCTATGATAGCCTCAAAGTTGGACTTTGCAAAAGAAAGAGGCTACTTAGACTTTGAAAAGGAAGATAGATTGTGTAGCTTGCTACGAAATAATTCATATGTGAAAATGGACCAAAGATGTCGATTTTATATATATATATATAGTCGACTCGTAGCGTAAGATTCATCCGATTTTATTCATTTTCTAAGTATTATCACATTCGAAAAATTAAAAAAAGACTTCTCGATAGGACATGAAATTTGATCGAGAAAGAATTTTTCTAACTTAGCCTGATTTCTAAGTGTTATCACATCTGAAAGATTATAGAAATACTTCTCGATAGGATGCGGAACTCGATTGAGAAAGAATTTTTCACAAAGGGTAAGACACTCTTATCATATGTCTATTATTATTTATCGTATTCAACATGATATCTCCGATGATCAAGTCAACTTTGATTTATTAGTTATGGATGAAAAATGGATGTAAATAGTTTAATGAGATAAGATATATAGAGAAATTGTTTCATGGAATGTTAGCTTTGTAATCTTGAGAGAGTATACTCTCTTTAGATGTTATGCTAATATAGCATGTCAAATAGGCTTTTTATAATTTTTAAAAGTTGATTTGATGTGTTCGATAAGCATTGACTGGACTCCATATATCGACTCTCGATTAACTAAAAATAATAATCATATCAAAGAACTTTTACGTTACATCGGAGTCCAAACCATTTTATACGGTAGTATCGCGACTTCGACTCGATCTTGAATTCTTTTAAAACTATTTAACATATTTATGATATATAAGCGATTAAGGTTTGAATCATGAAAACTATTAACATATTTATGATACGAGCGAAAGAATAAGGTTTGAATCATGAAAACAATCAATCTTTCTCTCTCTCTCTCTCTCTTGGTTTAAATGTGGTAAGACACATCCAACACGATCAATTTCCCCCAAGCTCATATTCCTTGGAATTCTCAAGCATACTCGTGCAACATTTTCTCTGTTTATCTTGAGACCAAATCTATTATCAGATTTCCATGTTTAACCAGCATTACAGCACATCAAGAACATCACACGAAAAACTAGATGAGATACCATCAAACGCGGTAGATGTATGACCGATTACCTACGTTTCTCGATGCATCTTGATCTCTCTTATTCATCGACCAAACCACCAATCTTGTAATAGCTCTACTGCTGCTGCTTCTCATGCTCGGCAACAAACCACTCCCTCCGCCTTCCGTCCTCCGGCGGCGGTGCCGAAGAAGAAGACATCACAAGAGTTTTTTGTTCCTGAGCACGAGAGAGCACTCCGCATACATCCGTCTTTACTCCACCGATCGAACTCGATCGGCTTCTCGAGAAGCGTCACGGGAGGTGAAGCAAGCCGCATGGCCATTCCCGAACGACCTGACGTGGTCGTTGAGCGAGCGCTTGTGCTTGAAGTCGGAGCCACAGGAGCACAGCCACAGCTTGCCGCAGTTCTTCTCGTGGGTCCTCCAGTCCCCTCTCACCGCGAAGGGCTTACTGCACTTGCGGCACGCGAAGGACTTGATGCCGTGCTTCCGCTTGTAGTGGGTCTGAAGCGTTCGGAAGTCCTTCAATGGCTTCGCCCGTGGGTGGTCGATGCTGTTCTTGCACCCGCGGGCACAGCAGTAGCATGGAAGCTTCAGCATCGCCATGGGTTGCGCTCCTTTGAGCGATTCTGGTCCCTTCCTGTACTCCGGTCCGTGCCCCCACATATGCATCTAATCCAATCCAACCATATCAAACACAAGAGCGAGAGAGAGAGAGAGAGAGAGAGAGAGAGTCGAAGCAAAATATACGATCACAAATCTCAAGATGCATTCGTTTGTGTGTTCGGTGCCGAGGACTCGAAGGAACAGACAAAAGGCGTGAGGGAACAATAAAGCCATGTCAGGTGATGGAAGAGAAGAAGAAGAAGCTGACGGAAACATGAGTAGATGAGGACGAAGAGCCTGACCTGTAGATTGTTATACCTATTGAAGGTCTTGTTGCACACGGAACAAGCAAACTTCTCCAGCCCTATCAGGATTTGAGCTGCTGTAGGGATCCAATACCTGCTCTCACTGCCAAAACAGCTGCTCCTCACTGATTCCTCCGACTCCTCCTTCCGGTGTTCTTCCTTCTTACACATCAACAACCTGCTCTTCTCCTCATCCAAATCTTCGGAAGCGCCACCAGGCAATCCGATGTTCAGGGCCGTGCTGACGTCGTCTCGGGCTCCTTTGTGCTCCTCTTTGATGTGCTTCTCATCATCCTCAAGCCTGCTCAGCAGAGGCAAGCACCGCAGTCCTTGTGACGGGAGATGATCTTGTTGAAGCACCATTTCTTGGTCTTGCTGTGGCGGCGTGGAAGAGGAGGAAGAAGACGAAGACGATGATGATGATGAGGAGGAGGAGGAGGAGGAGGCGGAGGAGGAAGAAGAGGAGGGTGGTGTCTTGAGCCACTGACACAAGGGAGGAGATTGGAAGCAGAAGCCAAAGGATGATTCATCCACAGGGCAGTCTCTCAGGCCCATCTTCCAAGAGAACTCACTCAATTAGGTCTCCTCAAAGGGAGGTAGAAGAAAGAAGGATCTGTTCCTTTTGTCAAGGCATGCATGTGGTGTTTGGTCCTCTCCAAGTCAATCTTTGATGGTTGCTGACTGCATCAAGCAGAATAGAATGTCATCCACTGAATCACATCAACCCTAAACTCTATAATATATTAGTGATTGCTAAGTATTTCCAATTCTTAAAATGAAATTGGAGTGCTTACAAAATCAAGTCAGTTGAAACATAAAAAAGAAATTAAGCTCAAGGATTAATAATACTTTATAAACACTCCATGTAGAACATCTTCTTGATACGAGAAAATATAATTTTTCTTCGAGATTTATGTGAGATAATATATATCAAATTTTATATTTGTATTTGGAATAACAAGAGAAATTTCTTTTTTATTTTAATTATTCTTTATCTTTTTTCAATAAGGACTATATTAAATTTTATGTTTGCTATCTTTGATTTATTATTAGTACCAAAGAATTCGTCTCCAAAGATATTGTGTGAGGCTTATCTTTTTCTTGGTCAAAGGTTTTTTTAAGAACAAACTTTCCCAACTTTGTTCTTGATTTCTCCGTCCATACCTCGTATTACCTCTTATAATTAGTTATCTTTAGTATTTCGATCTCTATATTTTTAAAAGTTACATTGGGATCTTTATATTTATGAAGTGAAATATTTATTCATGTTTCTCCTTACCCTATCGACTTTACTGATAGAAATATCTCTATATTTGCCTCACTTCGATACCACTGAACATGTTTGGTATTTTCGTCATTAGAGTCGAAGACATAAAGAGAAACGAGATTAAATATTTTATTTTTGTAAGTATAGGGATCCCAATATAATCTTTGAAAGTGTAAGGATCGATAATGCTAAATGTAATTAATTATAGGGAGTAATATGTAATTAGTTCCGATAACTCTTTCTCGAATACGTAACACATAAACAACTAACTTCTTATGAATATGCATCAACTTCTTAATTGCTCTCGGATAATCGACCATCAATTTTTAGTACCATTCTTAATCATGTCAACCCTAACCATCAACTAAAAACAAATAATGAAAAATCATTAATAATAGAAAGAATAAGAAAGAAATTAATGAGTCAAAACTTCCAACCCACTAATTATCCAAGCTGATTTTATCATTGTCTATGAGTCTCGGATCATTCTTTTTTATGTTTACATATAAATCGAAATCGAAAGTATACTTAAGAGATGGCTAAGTGATTCTAATCAAACCAACACGGAGGAGATTTGAGATGAGCCAATCAACCTAATCTACCTTAAACCTAACATAATGCAGAGATCGATTAATGTCCATAAAGTCGCAACTAAATTGCATGGGCTGTTCGACAGACACAAAGCTAAAAGATAGCGATGACCAACTTCATTACTGCTCATCAATAAGACTGGTGGGAGTGACATCACAGCGATATGGAGATCGTGCTCGATGACATCCTTGTCCAAAGTGCATTCAAATCAGCAGGCAAATCATATTTAAATGACCACTGGTTGGGTCTGCCAAACCCCATTGATGAGCTGTTGACCAACATCTTGTCATCAACAAGGAAAAACAAATAAATAAATATATATATATAGAGAGAGAGAGAGAGAGATTTTATCTTTGAAGGGAATAATAGATCAAACGAGAGCAAATGTGATCGAACATTCAAGTCAATCTACTTTCAGTTTTGACTTTTTGAAAGCACTTTAAATTGTTTGGTCAAAGAAGGGCAGTGGGAATAGAAAGACAGGGCGGAAGAAAAAAGGTGTGTCAATCTTTTTCCGATGATGACTGCCTCTCTCTCCACTTTATGACGGCTCAACTTTCTACCTTCGTCGCTTTGTTTTCACATACGCGCTTGCATCAATAAATGCATCTTCTATGCGCATTTCGATGAGGAGGCTACTAGAAATGGCAACGGACAGAATACCAATCAACTCTATCCTGATGAGTCCTAAGCCCGACCAACTTGCTCGGATATCTCGACCCAATTCTTTAGGATCGTCTTAAAAATGAGATAGGTTCGAATTAGTTAATATATTATTGTGTAGGTAATAGATCTTAGATTTGTATTCATACGGTATATATGTCATTTAATGTAATATTTTTTTATTAAAAAATATAAGTATTTTTCTTTTTATGAAGTTCATACTACTATTCAAAATTGAATTTGATTTTATTAAAGTAGGTCATGAATTCGAATCATATATTTATTTTTTTAATATTTAGTTAAGGAAGATATTAACTGGTTTATTAGTTTATCGATAAGAAAAATATTCAATATTCACTTCAATATGAACTTAGTAAAGACTAACTTGAACGGACGTAAACCCGAGTTGAGTTGACGGAGACATCCTCAACATCTTTCCCTATCATTTATAAAAATTTTGATTATTGATAATATGATGTTAAGATCAAATTATATATTCATCACTTATCTTTCAAAAAAAAAAATATTTTGCATGGAATTAGCAGGTGACCAATCAAAAAATAAGTATTGTAGTCCTGTCTAGATAGTACCCATTATCATTCCACAAATGGCTTTTTGCCCAAATTGAAAACTTGCCCATCAGAATCCTGGTGTGCATATTTCTACAACAAAAAAAACTTGATTGTTGCTTAAACATAGAACTTGAAGCAAAAGAAAACAAATATGGGGAAGAGTGACCCAAAGTTTGGTGAAGAGTTTAGTGGCACAAGAAGGATCAAAGGATCAAAAAGAGTTTGGTGAAGAGTCTTGTGATACATCAGAATAACTGGAACACCAAGAATAAGCATGTTCAACTCCCAACAGCTTACTACCGAGAGCATGTTCTTCCAAGATTTGGGTTCCCAGGCTAGATGCTATGCTTGTGCTGATCTACTCGATGATCCCAATTGAAGCTATGATGAAGGGACGAAGTCCAACCTTTTCCATTAGCATCCCAAGTTATAACACAATTTGGTCGGCATCGCTATTCTCTTCGAAGCTAATGCAGATGTTGTTCGCCTCCAGCTAACCATGTTGGCCTCACCAGTCTGCATGATGTAGTGAAAAATATCAGGACTGGTCAGTAGTTGTATCATCATGAATAAATCAGAAAGCAAATTGGTACAACATTTTTTTATGTACTTAAACAGCATTTTCAGAATGCCAGAAACTGATGAAGTGAACCATTCAAGAAGAAGCAACAGATTAGAGCACACAATATCCGGTACTCGTAGGTAGGCACCTAATATTTGTCAGTCTGATTGCATGAACAAACGTAAAATTGACCTAGTATCTACCAGGAAAGATTGAAACTCAGACATGTGTATATAAATAAACAAATGTTGACAAAAAGGTTCGATGTTGGACTTGGTACATAATCTCAGACATCCATTAAAGGGCCTGCAAGTTGACTAATAACTTCATGCTCTCAGATTCCTGATTCCTGATATGTCATCAGGTTGGTTCAGATCAAGCGTCTTATCAGGGTATGCTGACATGCCGACAGTTGTTAATGTGTGCTTGCGCATGCATACATACACAAACAAACAGAAACCAGCATATAACCAAAACACGAATTCTATATCCCTTGGTTAACAAGAAAACTATCATCGCCTTTTCTTTTGTTTTTCTTATTACATTGTTCCAAGCAAAATGTTCTTCAGAACAAGATCTACTTGAGCTCCTTTGAACCTGTTGCTGTTCCTAACTTATTAGTAAGCTACATAGATTATGCCGGTGTTCAAGTTACACCCATGAATGTGAAATAGAAATATCCTAGGTAAAGAAGCCAGCAATCAGGGGTGAAAGTAGATCAAACAATAACATTCCATATTTGATTTGTAGAACAATACAACATCAAACCATAATGTTCCAACTACTTGGGTTTGGCCACAAGGAATTTTTGCTGCCATTGAGCATATTTGTTTATGTGTCCAATCATTTAATAGCATTTGTATCGAAATGATCAAACCAATCCATGTATAAGTCTCTGACACTACCAACCCAGAATATAAGTATTTGATAAATTAAGAAAAATAGAAAGAAAATGCAAGAAGACGTGTTAGCTCCATATCCTCCATGTCAAAGCACAAGTGAAAAGCAAAGGGGAAAATTCAGATCCAAGATCAAATTTGTAGAGTGTTGGTCATTCTTATTGAAGGAAATTAAATTTATCTCATTGATACATGTAATAAACTTTGCACTGGTGTGAATAGTTATGCAAATTCTACAGTTGAAATAACCAAGCACCATAAACTTTTGTTAGCACCACACATCTAAAAATTTTCAAGGAAATTACATGTCAATATCAAAAACTCACTGCCTGGCATATTAAATAAACAAGATATAAAAGCATGTTCAGTTTACAGAATAAGCGAGACAACTCAACCAAGAAATACTGCCATCAAACATGTCAACTCAATCCCCTAAAGTCAACTTATGGTGATCTGCTAGGAGATGAAAATAGGGAGAAATGGCATGTCACTACCCCATACAAGATGGTGGATACTTTTGAAACAATGATTATCTCAGCTAAGGAGAACCATCTTAAACAATTAAATTTGGATAAGCCAGGGTTCATATGTATGATCCTATGACAAGTCAATTGCTGGATATCTAAGAAATTATAAGATACCAGGACATTTGTAGACTCCTATCAAGCAACATATTAGGATTGTCCGTCCTCATTGTGAGCTCGGATCTCCATCCTAAGCTGGTAATGTCACTCAGCCAGCAAGATCACGAGATAGTTGCAGTGGAAGAAACCGATCATATTAGGTTCATGGGGATGTAAGATATCACTTTTATGATCTTGCAGCATGATGAGTCTTTGCAGTAAAGGACCAAGGCGCCAAGTCTAAAGAAAGTGTACTTAAAAAGTGTTGCCGAAAATGAGCTTATCACACCAGCATCAGAAAATCCAAGCCCCTCAAACATTTAAAATAATTAAATGATTAAAACTAATTTCTTTGTTATATCAATAACCAGTTTCCCAACTTCATAATAATATATAGTTGTAATTAGTTGGTTTCCCGGTCTAAAAAACAAAATCATAATAACAAAAGTGCTACATGGTAGATATCTCACGGCAGTAAAGTTTTCTTTTCTATTATTAGAACACAATTATCAAGGATCATACATTTGCCATCAATTCATTTCAATTACAAACTTTGATCAGCTTAGTATCTTGTTATGTACTGAAACTAAGTAGAAATTCCAATGAACCACTAACAAGAAGTAACAAACAACCACTCACTTCATAGCTATCTTGAACGCTGCAGCTTCACTCAAGTGCTAAATCAGATGATTATTTCCAATATGGAATGTAACGGCCCTGCAGTGAAAATTTCAAACTACCTACCGGCTTAATTAATAATAGTGATATAGGATATGACAACTACTATAAATCAGTCATTTTGTTCAATTTAAGAAGTTAAATAAAGAAGGGAAAGAAAAGGACAAAAAGGAAAGGAAAGAAAATCAAGGAATTATGAAAAATATAAAAAGGTAACTATATGTTTTTCAGTCAACAGACAACATCAAGTGGTAATCACTGCTTCAAAGAAAGACTGATTATATTTGCATGACATTCATGCTACATAAAGTTCCATGATGCATATCTAAAAGGAGCTAGATAGTTAATTTCTATGACATCATGACAACACCCTTGTATGCCAAAACAATTACATGAAACATTAAAAACAATCTCGGACATAATATCTGATTCCTATATTTAAAGCACATTCCCAAAAGGCAATAAAGAGTTTGAAGCGTAAAAAAAAAGAATTATGCAAAATAATGAAAGAAATTGGTGATTATATTCAGTAAATATTGACTCTATACATTCATACTCTCACCAAAATTAAGTTCTTTACAAGAGTTTATGCTCTCAATTTGTCTTATGTGGCAAAAATGTTTCGAACCATGACAAGAGGATATTACATTTTACCTGCTGTCTGATGCAACTGACAAGAATAGCTCAAGATTAGAATATCCGAACCCTTGCAGTGACTTGTGAAAAAATCACTCATACTCAAACTGCACATCGACCTGAATATATTTCCTCATAAGACAAACTATAAATGAGGTAAAATTGGCCAACATCTGACGTTCTTCACGAGTTTTAGTCTCAGAAAGGGCACCATGGATGACTAATTTCTTGAGGTTTGGGCATCTTTCAATTATCCCAAAAACCCAATGTCCAAAATGCTCGCTTATTACAGTCCATCCCAGTTCCAGTACATCCACATTTTCCAATGGTGAGGAGCCTTGTAATCCATAATGGAGCAGTCCATCCCTTATCTCATAACTTAACGAGAGATGCTTAAGCTGCGGGAATGAAACAGCAATAGATTCTGAATCAATAACCTCATCCTCATCATCAAACACTACACCCCAGAGCCTGAGTTTTCTCAGTTTAGATGCTCTAGATATCATTTGGTAGAATTTGGGCCACATGATCATGAAGTTACTAACGTCTACAACCTGTAGATGGTCCATGCTCTCACCAATATCCAAATGAGTAACACTAACATCATCAATCTTCAGATGCTTTAAAGTACCCTTTCCAATAAGCTCGAAAAAATCAAGGTTTAGGGCATTTAGGTGCAAGCTCTCAAGATTATCTGCCTCCAGAATAATCTTATCCACACCTATTGATTTGGCATATAAGCACTTCAACGTTTGACTGCTCAGCTCCATCGAAGACTGAGAATCTGAAGTGACAATTTCTAGAGCATCAAGAGTCAAAGACTCTATCCTTGGACAGGCAGCTAACAAGAGGCTCAGATCCAAGGCAGAGATACTAACATGTCTTAGAGAAAGGGATTTGAGGCAAGTAAGTCTCTGGTAACTTGGTTCGACCCCAGTGATAGAATTATGATCCAAATCCAAAGCCTCCAGCTTCTGTCGACCACATTTCTCTAAAATGTTCACATTTGGTGTCGTGCGAACATTATATGACAGGCTCCGTAATGTTTCCCTGGTGTACATAAGCCACGCAATAACTGGAGCAGCAGCAAACTCATGTGCATTGTCCATATGAATTGAAAGACACTGCAATCCCATCGTTTGGAATATAGTCTGTGTTATGAGAATCTCCAGCTGCCTGGTTGTGATATCACGGGGCCAATCATCTGACCTGAAAGAAAGGGTATGAAGGTGTTTCCTGCAGGCTTCTCTCCATTTCCGGCAAGTGGCGGAGGCAACAACGACATCCCTAGCAGTTCCAATATGAGAAAGTATATTACCGATGACTTCCACAGGGAGGTGCTCCATAGACCACGAGAACAATGGGGAGAAACAATGACAAGTGCTCTAGCCCTCAAGAATTGATTTCATTCTATATAAACGAAACCAGATGCTAGAGACTCGAACAGCCACTGCAAGAGTCGAATGATCTAAAAGCTGATAGACCGACTAAATTGTTAGGACGACAAAGAGAATCAAAACCCCTCATCTTCCTTTCCTGCAGCAGTTTTCAGAAGGACAATAAAACAATATCAATTAGTGAAATTTAACATATTGCATAATAAAAAACAAAAAATTTCTGTCGAATCCAAACAAAAACATAATTCCCTGCACGCAAATCAAATTGTTCTGCGGAACGCCTAATCGGAATATTACTAGGCAACTGATCCAGGATCTGCCTTTTCCAACACTTGGATGAAATAACACATAGAATATTTCGGATTAATCGATCAAGAAACACGAAATGTCAACTCACAAGGGTTTAATCCCATCGGACGAGCTCGGTAAATAGACATAAAAATAAGCTCGAAATCCAGTCACTAGGTCTCGACGACCGAAAATTCCCAATTATTTGAATTCGGAAAACCGACGCAACAGTCCGACGAATCAACACGGAACAAGCAGAAAGAAACAAGAACGGGGCGGAAGGATCCACGGGCGTACCTTCCCGTCTCGCGTCAATCGATCGAACGATCGACGGAGAGCGTGGAGGAAAGGACCGATGGGACGAGAGCCGAGGAGGAGGAGGGCGATCTCAGATCCAAGGATGGGCGATTAATAGGGACGGGATCGTATCGAAAGAAACAAGCGACAAGGGTGGGGCGGTTCCGACAGCGGAAGAGAGAGGAAGAGGTCAAACAGCGTAGACGTTTTTGGGTGGTCGTCTTCTATTATTCGCTCGCCCCCATCTCCTCCGGACGTGAGGGTTGGCACGTGAGGACCAATTGCGGGCCAACAGTTTGTAACTCGAAATCCTTCCCAAGTGCGAATTGGGGCCAATTGAGATTTGGCACGTCGCCAATCCACTGTCCGTGCTTATTGGGCTGCACGTGAGAGGATGGATTGTGATGCACGAGCGATTTGGGGACTACTGGTAATTGGCACGTGTCACATCCACTGTACGTGCTTATTGGGCTGCACGTGAGAGGATGGATTGTGATGCACGAGCGAATTGGGGCCTATTGGCAATTGACTCGTCTCAGCCTAAATTTCTGCCTAATTGAGAGGGGCCGTGCCACAAATGTCAAATTGTAAAACATTAATTTGATGATAGCATATTAATATTTATTTAATAAATAAAAATTTAAAATTAATTTAGTCATGGTGTACAAAATTCATATATCATAAAAATTTAAAATTTTCTTCGATAAATTTACACTTACAGTATTAGTGTAGTAATGATATAGTCGCTTTGCTTATCATCTTAGGTCGAAAAGATAAAACTCGCGTTCTATAAAATTTACTTATTCTTTAAAACCTTAACCGATATTTTTTAATGCTTAAAAGTATTGATATATTATCCAAAAAGTTTATGCTAAGTAAATAATTGAATCTTAGTTTTCTCACTTACATGACGAGGGAAAAGACTTGGATGACAAGGGAAACTTGTAGTCATCAAGCTTGAATACAAGATGGCATAATTGATGTGATCTCTGTTTTGGAGGCTCCAATGGAGAGAGAATGTTGGTCTGTCATCAAACATTTATAACATCTAGTTATTGAATCTTCTAGTAAAGTTGATTGTCTTGATTCCATGGATTTATTCTTGTGCAAGATGTTATAATGGTTGACATGCTGTTTGAGGATGAACATTCAATAAACTCATTACCCTACTCTCACATAAAAGATTACATCCTCATGTTATGGGTAAAATGTTCATAAACTAAGAACACAAATTACCAAACCAATCACTTCATATAGGATATGAAACCCAGAAGCAAAAGAAAAATCAGCAGGAGAATCCACACCTTGAAGCAGAATGTGCATATTGTGATTACATCATGGATGATGGAAAATCATCAGAATTATTACAATGAATTCAAAGCAAACAGTGCAACAATTATAGTATACAAGACAACTCTGTTGTCAGCAGATTTAGTACTGCAGCAATAGACCAGTATATGTTCTTCACTGCTCAGTTTCATTTGGGAGTAGTAATCAAGGAAAATGAGAGACAAAAATTCACAATGACCATAAACAAGGAAGTTGTTGTGTGTTTGGAGGGTGCATATGCCACCATGGTCCTGAAGCCTGTAAAATGGACAACTATTTGACCATAAAGGAGCTTTTACAGCTGCAACCCCCAACTGCACTTGGATTTGCTACTACCTGCAAAGCTACGATTCATCAACTGCTATTCTATGGACTGATATGCTGCAACGAAAAAGATTACATCTCAAGACAGTTCAATTGGGTAAAATTTTGTCGACAGTAACTGGTAGATGCATTCTCCCATTTGAAAGCACTGTCACATGTAACTTGGTACATTAAACCATGTAACTAATACTGTCAAAGAGTTGCTTCAAAAAGAAAGTTAACAATAAAGAAGTACTGTCACATGGTATGAGATGGAAGAAGGCTAGGGTTCTAGATTTGTTAAAAGAAAATTCAAATTGATTGACAGCATCAAATAAGTAATGGACAGATGATTTAATAATGTTCTTATGGCTTAATGTACAGGACCAAAGAGAAACGCAAAATCCGAATTCCAAGTTCTCACTGATGCTAATAAGATCAAGGCTATAAACATGTATCTTGGAGCAGCATAATATACCAGCAATATAGATTCATGAAGTATTTAGTGGTTCTCAGACACTTCAACTTATGAGTTGCCATGTCATGCCAGACATTTACTGGGACACCCACCTGCTAAGGTATCTAAAGATAAACCTTGACATTTCATTTCAGTTATGCTGTGATCACCAATTAACCCAAACATTTTGACATTTAATGTAGAAGTTTATGTCCAACATATTAATCTGCACAATCTCTATTGTTTATATTAGGCAAAAAAATCGGTCGGATTAACAACCATGTGAACCCATTCTCAAGTCTTAACAGATTTTCAAATGTTTCTGATTGCACAAGCTTTGAAGACAATTATTTTTTAAACTGGCTAAGAATTTCCCGCTGATTATAGAAGGTTGATTCCAGGTTAACAATTGTTTCTAACATTGTGTCAAATCTTAAACATGTGTTTGAATTGTGCTTTATTACTATTCCAACATCGAGATTAGTCAATCTCTTGGACAACGATAACATTATCTGCATGTAAAATAATAAAGCAAATTCTATGGTGCAAATATCAGATAGGACAGTGAATTCAGACATTGAAGTTGAAGCAGTTGTTTCCAAGGGCGGGCACTCTTTTCAGCTTGGCTGTGCTTGTGCTGCTTCGGCGGCGCTTTTTTGCCTTGTCAATTTTGAATGTTTTACTTGCTTGATCTTTCTTTCTTCTTTTTTTTTGGGGGGGGGTCTGATCATGACACCCATGTCATTCCATCACACAGGTTACAACTTTTCAATCGTAGCATGATAAGAAAAAGTATGTTCCAACAAACTTTCACTTGGCATAAGATTTGAAGATTAAAACTTTTGATATATCATTTATTATGATGCATAAACTTCATCCATCTTGACCTTTTGCCTTTCTTGCCCCAATATTTCTTGGATTGGAATTTTTCTCATGCATTTCTAGATAAGCCATCGTCTTGCCCTCATGCACCCCTTCTTTCTCACTAGTTGATAGCCCAAGGTTCCTGGAACCTTCTTCAACTAGGATCTGAATACCGTTGTGGAAGTTCATTGTTGCATATTGATCTTCCAAGAATTAAAACTTTTGCCTCCAAAAAAGGTCCATATAATTTCCCTTGCCTGAATCAAATGTTTTCTTTAATTATGATGACAAACATCCACTATCAAATGGGCATTTAGTACCAATTCTGTTAGTAATTTAAGCAGCTACACTTCATTAAGAGAAAGTAAGAGAAAATGAGATAGTAGCAACAGAATGTTTTCAACTCACTTTCTATTTCATATAAAACATGACATATAGGAAGAATAACTCACTTTCTATGTCTACTTAAGGCCTTACTAAGCAACTTAAAAGCCATATGAAAAAAGTGGCAACAAACCAGTAACATCAGCAACTACACTAAAAATTAATACTGCATTATTCTCCTCTATACTATAAAGACTATATGGGGAAGGACTCTAGTGTAATCAAAAGTGAATCACTTCCTATATTTGTCACAGACAGTATGCTTTATCTGCTGCCTGTAAATACTTTCATCCTCACCAAATCAATGAAAATTCATTAATCCACCTTCTCTATTGCTTCTTAGTAATCTAAGGGTATGCCGGCAAGTTTTAGGTAAGCTTCAGCATTTTTTAAGGCTTAGATGTTTAATCTTGTATAAAAAGTAGAACCAATTGATTCCAAAGCAATGATCAACAAAGATTAGCATATACATGTTTTCACAATGAAATAGAATCCTCATCTTTTTAATCTAACTGCACAAACAAACCTCCAAGTTCGTCGGGAAAAGACATACATACAGAACTTCCTACCCAAAGTCAACCCTTCAGAATCATCCATCTGCGTCTTTATGTCTAATAACCAATTTTCCCTATCCTTTTGCTCTAGGAGTTCTGCCATTGACACCTGAGTGGAAAACGTATTGCCGTAATCATGATTAATCAGTTATTTTACTTGACAAAGCACATGTGGTATGGTAACTTTGAAGAGGCAGATTTCTTATCTTCACCATATTGAATTTTGCTACTGATTGATTCTCATTGTGATGGTCAAATATGTAGCATACGAAGAACTAAGAGAACAAGATTTCCATATTTTTCAGCCTATAATTGTCTCTCTTCTGAAATAGTTCTAATTGCACAAAAAAACCTAACAAAAAATGACATTGAAGTCTCTTCGATAGCAAACATCTGTCAAAATGACCTCAACAATTTAATACAAAAATAGTAATAATGACACTTCTAATGAATAGACTAATTTACCATGATCAACCAACCAGCATTGAAACCCCATTACACAATGGAGAATTTCACCACCAGTGATCAAGTAATCATGCTTGACCAAAGTCTACATCCACTGATTAGGCTTGGGTATGATCTAAGCATCAAAGGCATTAATGTAGTTCAAATTTACAAGTGGGTAGTGTTAAATACAGACTGAAAGAGTACCAAGATTGGGTGTGCATCAGAGTTTTAAGTTGGCAAGAAAACAAAACGAGAAATGATCACACATAGGGGATCTATTATAATAATTACTTACAATGATTTCATGTTGCTAGTCTATCAATGACAGTTTTTCACAAATATAATGTATTGTCCTCTGATTTGATATATTAATGATAAGCCTACTGCCAGCTTAGGTTTCCATCTTTGATGTACAACGACATAAGCCTATTGACCGCACTTTAGTTAAAGATACGCTCCAATTGTTTTAGTGTTCAATTCTCCTAAATGACGGATGCATTGTGTTTTTGGTTAATTGGTTGGTTGAAGCTTCATTTTCTTTAGAGGTAAGATCCTCCTAAAAGTCATATCAAGAAGATCCACTAGTCATCTCGTCCACCATATTCTTTGAGACCAGCAGATCAAAAGGAATAACTATGAACAAGCTACTAAAAATCAAATTTTGAGAAGTGAGCGTGATCATGAACAAATTTCAACATGGAAAACAATGCTAAAACAATTCAAGAAAGCTAACAGAACAAGGTTTGGTCTTACAAATTTATCACATTAGATACAACAAATGCTAAGCTTGTTTACATACTAAGCATACAACCCTATTAAATGAAGTGACCATCATCTGACGTGAAGTGTACTACTGATGCATTTCCGACCAAGGTAAAAGCTTAC